TTATGTTTATACAATTCTACAATTACCCAGAAATGCGATATCTATGGATTACATTTTATGCTAGACTAACTACATTATTGTGTTGTATTTGTGGTTATGCAAAATAAAATAACTTATAAAGTAAGGTATCATTCAGTACGTGATGAAATGCTTCATTGCTTATTCAGATATAATGTAAATGCATATCATAGTTTTAATATCTATTGCATTATTCAATGAAATGTGAAGATGTATTGCTTGCTAGACAATATAATACATTACAGTACATTATAATGTATAAATCTCATCAGATCTCAGAAGATACGCAGGAATGAGCCTGGATAGTACTAAGATTGAATCACCACAATGCACAGCAATTTTGTCAGAGCTCTTCTACGTGGTGGTGGTCAGCAGAGGACAGGGCAGCAAAATCCATTATTGCACTGTACTTCTATTCTTCCGTGCATTCGCTCTCAAACCAACACTAACCCGCACCGACCACTGTGGTAAAATATGGTCAAATATACCTCACAAAAAACCCTCAACCACATGGAGAGACCCACATCCAGCAGTGGATTGCCAACATTTCTGTACATTTACATTGTTAGAATAAAAATGTTTGATTAAAAATGTCTTTCGTTTTTTAAAATAAATATAAAATTCGCATGAATTATGTAATAATGTACACTTTTATTTGAAGAGGTAAACATCCAATATCGATTGTTAAAATGTAAATTTTATTGCAGAATTTTTATTTTAAGAAAACAATAAGCAATGAAAATAAACAATCGGAATTTATACATTTTCGTCTGAAGACACAGCAGACAATACCATGCATGTGTGCATTCACAGCAGTTTGTTAATATTACAGCAAAGACAAAGATCCCCCATGTAGCCTTAACATGCTGTTGGGGCAAGTGCTGTTACCAAGCACCTATTAAGGCCGGCACGGCACATAAGGGGATGGCTGGCCAGCACCACGCCCGACCGCCTTTGTCTCCACAATGGCGATGTTTTTACACACCGCACCAGGTACTCATTTGAGGCTGAGTAGACCTAGGGGGAGGCCCAGGACCGGTTCAGATAATCGTAACTGGTGATGGCCGTGAGCGGGATCTCAACTCCGGTGCCTGGGTTCGTAGAACAGAGCGCTAACTGCTACACCACCGCTTTCCGCAATATTACAGGACACAGTGTAATACATACTGCATATAACTGAGTTGCTGCCAATGGTAGGGTAATTTTAGTCGAACAAGAACACCTTTGTGATGATCTGTTTAACCTTTAAAAGCATGCGACAGTCCACTGAGATAACAGCGTCCTTAGAATGTTAGGCTCTGCCTGAATTGCTTGTGCGTATGACTTTGCAATCCAAAGGTCGCCAGATAAATATCCACAACCTCTTTCCACCCGGCAGCATAAATGAGTACACCAAAGTCAGTCAAAAGGCATGTGGTGTGTGTTTAGATAAAGTGTACTTACGCAATTTGTACTCACACACTTTATTTATTTATTTGAGTGACTAGCTTACCTTTTTATACTTTGCACTCCTTATCGATTTTGGCATTATTTGTTGGTGTAACTTTCTGACCCGCCCCTGATAGAGGGTGCCAGGGTGGTGAGATGTTAACTACCTCGCCTCGTATACATAGAGGTTGTGGGTTCTATCCCGACCCTGACGCCTGTATATTTGGAATTTGCATGTTCTCCCTGTGGGCACGTTGTTTTGTCTCCAGGTCCTCCTGTTTTTCGTTCCACATTTAGAAACATGCGTTTAGAGTATTTGGCTGTTGTAAATTTCCACATGATAAGCCATCCTGTTGAGCTATCATGTGTGGCCAGGTCACTTCTGAAAAAGAGCTGTATACAGTAGCTAGCGGGCCTCACCTGGAAAATACAAAATAGCTTTAAAATAACATGTAAAAAAGAGCTTAATTACTCATCAGATTCTTCCACGATAATTAAAGATTCTGATTCTGGGTACTCAAACATCTGCCAAAATGTTTGGCCAGCGTGGAGGAATAGGCCAAAATACCCTCAAGATGGCCTGCCTAGAGTTCCTACAATTTGAGGCCCTTCCGCCAGAAGTGACGTGAGCACGGAATATCAGGATTGCACCTTAACCTTCATTGACCTGCCAGGTGGCTCAGCTGCAGAGCGAGTGACTCGCAATTGGAAAGCTGTAAATTCAGGTCCTGGTTGGGAGTTGATTCAGCCCATCCCGTCGCTCGGGTCGATGAAATTAATACCATTTCATATGGAAAATAAAAGTGGTTATGTTATGGACAGTCACCTCCATAGGAATGTGGAATTTCCACTAAATGGCTCATGATTATACACAGGAGATGATTCTCATATGAGCAGGAAATAATTGTAACTTTTTGGACTGCGGTATGTGTTTTCGAGGTTTTTCTTATTAATTGGCAAAAACGGAACAGCGACAACTGTAGCCACTCGTTGAGAGCAGTACGATTCTAATTTCCATCATGGTGTAACTGTTATTAATAAAGTGTATCGAGTTATTATTGTTGCAATTGTATCAAGTAGTTTTAATCAGTGCAATGCATATACAAATGTGTTTTTTTCTCATTATTTACAGGGAAGGAAGTGTAAAAGTGGATCATATTGTCACCTACACATACAGCACTAGTCCGTTAGTAATTGGCATACTTAACAATTTGCAACAGCATCTTCAAGACCTTTTAATAGACACAGAATGTGTGACTAACAACACCAGCGAGAGACTTACAGCAGGTAAGAGCATCAGCAACCCCTAAGCATTACAGGTGAATGCATCTGTCACCGCTGTGTGGTCGGAACTATTAAAAACAGACTTTATTGCCCTAACATAGCCATTATATTTTGCTGAAGTACATTTTCCTACTTGGGCATAACTTGAATGCACTGTTTATTTTAAGGTTACATATTTATGTTGCCGTTCAGTATTAAATTTGAAATAGTTAATTGCTGAGGCCGTTGCAAACTCTAGAGACAGTCAGTCCTATTGGTATTTGTTTCAGTACACACCGATACTACATTATAAATTCCTGAAGATAACAGTAGAGTAACCACAAATCAGGTCCGTTTATCCTTCAAAACCAAAGCTTTACTCGAGATGTCTAAGATGTCTCTAAACGTGCCTCAATTCTACATAGAGGAGAGTCAGGCCACTACAGAAGGATCGCCAATAACTTGTTGTGAAATAGTATCAAGGTAGAATGAGCAATGGCTGGAAGAAGGCCATTGGGCTGAATGTAACACAATAATCATCTCTTTGGTTCTTTCGGTAAAGTCACATAGAAAGAAAAAATTAAATAATAATAGTACTGTACTCTATAGTACTCTATTATTTAAGTTCATTTATTTATTTTCTACGTGACTTCACCGAACGAACCAAAGAGTAATTCCTGCAGTCACGAAAGCTTCAAATCAAGTTATAATAATCATCATTGTAGGAATTTTTCCCCGACCCTGACGCCTGCTGCTGTATATTTAGAGTTTGCACGTCTCTCTCCCCGTGGTTGTGTGGATTTTCCTCAGGGTCCTCCGCTTTTTCCCTCTACATTTAGAAATGTGAGTTTACACTATTTGGCTGCCATACATTTCCACATGATAAGCTACTTGGTTGAGCTATCATTTGTGGCCAGGCTGCTTCTGAAAAATTGCTATATAAAGCTCAGTGAGCCTTACCTGGTAAAATACATTTTTGTTTGTTTTTTAGTATAGTTTTAAACAACTCATGAGCCGCACATTCTTCTGGGAGTGCATCTTATCAGCAGCATTGGTTCAATAAAAGCAACCTCTAGAGCAGTTTTGACAGTCATTGTCTCTCATCAGCAGAGCCTTGAACCAATCAATACTGGTGAATTGCATGACGTTTATAAGCAAGGACTCTTTATTTAAGCAATGGGCCCTAGTTTGTTACACAAGTAATCACAGATTGTCCATCATAGTTATCACAGAAAAGTCACACCTCTTTTGAAATATCGGCAACACTACGCACAAAGAGGAATGGCACGTCCACACGCCAGCAAAGGTGTTTTGCGAGCTTCCCAGTTTATATAGTGAGAGCAGAGCAGAATTCTTGGCAACAATCACTTCGTCGTTTTGAAATATCGGCAACACTACGCACAAAGAGGCACGTCCACACGCCAGCAAAGGTGTTTTGCGAGTTTCCCAGTTTATATAGTGAGAGCAGAGCAGAATTCTTGGCAACAATCACTTCGTCGTTGTGATGTAAAACGGCTATTTTTGGACGAAGATTAAAAATAGCTAGTTAGGATCCATAATAAAGGCTATTGGGTTAGATTGCATAATTATAAATGTGTCGTTAAACCCGCCACCACCCGACACAGCCAATTAGTACGGTTTGTCAACACACCGGTGTGTTGGAGAGTAAACCCACAACATTTCCAATTTGAGTACGACGTTCCGCCAGTAATAATTGGCTGTGTCGGGTGGTGGTGGGTTTAACAATGCGTTTATATTCACGCGATTTAACCCGAAAAACCTCTGTTATGGATACAATTGGTTGCGAAAGCCTCCTACGTGTTAAGCTAGTTAGGAGTAACATATTATAAATGGCACAAAGGTCATGGGGTTCAGCAAAAATATCAATCACACCACAGTACATTGCAGGTATAGTACCTGCTATGCAGCATCACAATAGGATTACGTTATCGTGTTGACACATTTTTATCATTAAACAAAAATCCCACTCTCCTCCTTCCCACCTGCACCTTCACAATTAAATACATTTGCACCGTTCAGGGGTCATGACTGCATTCAAGAATCAATTATTGATTTCATCAGTACTGTCCCATCTTTACTGCCTCTTTGTCTGTCTCGTTTGTGCTGTGTTGGCTGTGCTGTAGGGCTTTGCCTGTTTCATTCCTTCTTGCAGATGAACAATGCGCATACATTACCATGCATCTGTGCACGTATTGCGAGCATACGAATTGGTTTTCATCTATTGAATAAATTAATTGTTCCATACCTACGTCGATTTAATTGATATACAATGCAATGCGCACCTTACTATTTTGGTATAAGGGAAGAAAAAAGTGTCTAGGATTGTAAAACTTTAATTGTTTTTGTACGCACGATAGAGTTCACTATTGTCGAATTAGACGTAAAAAAACAATCACGATTATAACACCATGTTTCGTCTCCATCCTGAACGTGTGTAACAGAAAATTGTACAGGATTCCTCTTGGACATGGAAAACGTTACAGTGATTGCCGATAATACAACAATCAACGGTACGTATTGAAAACAGATTCGGTATCTTCAAGGCCATAATACAACAGACAATTAAACGTGTAAAACATTTCTCCACTATTTAAAACGTATTAATGATGCGTTTAATATCACTCTATTATTGATTATATGTACAGAATCAGAATATTGATTTATTACTGGAGGAATCCGATTAGCTTTAAAGCTCTTTTTCACAGATGTCCAGTCAGGGCGGATGAGAACGTCAGAACAACAAACAAACAAAAAAACACGATAAAAATGTAAAGTATAGGAAATGTAAACAAATCACTTTAAAAATATATACAAATAGAACTAAACTATTTATCTTACCATGTAAAGCCCACTGGGCTATTCGCTTCTTTTTCAAAAGCGACATGGCCACATGTGATAGCTCAACAAAGTGGCTTATCATGTGGACATTTATATCAGCAAAATAATTGAAATAATCTAAATGCGTGTTTTTAAAAGTGGACGGAATCAGCCAAGTGGCTTAGCGGTAGGTAGAATGAGCTGCTTGCATTTGGAAGGTTGAGAGTTAAAATCCGAGTTGGGGGCTTGACTCAGCCCATTATCATGTTGGGGTCAATATAATAGAGACCAATTTATCGAGGAAATTAACAGCTGGTTGTCGTATGGGTAGATTCGCCCTCACTATAGAAGGTGTGGAAAATCCTACCACCACCCAGGGCCGTGAACAGGGAATGACCACCACCTCAATGCTTATTTGAACGGAAAAGATGTAATTTTGTATATAAAATCCTACCACCACCCAGGGCCGTGAACAGGGAATGACCACCACCTCAATGCTTATTTGAACGGAAAAGATGTAATTTTGTATATATGTACTGTACAGTGTTATTACACAGGTACGACTGTAACGTCCCCGCAACATTACTCGTGTAAACATAAAGCTGAATTGTGCGATTAACTATCGATGCAGTTGATTTTTTTGTGTGTCAATTACTCATGTTGCAGCTTCTAATATTGATCCCTTTTTTCCAGATTTGGATGACTTCTGCTCCGACTTTGAGTATTACACAATATCGATTATAAATGACTCGTCATTTTCCTGCATACATAGGTGCGATGCCAACTCTCCAAAACCTTATTGTGCCAACGGTGGGGAATGTAACGCAACTGTTCTAACCCCGGAGTGCGTGTAAGTAAACTTCATCTTCATCAAACTCGACGGGAAGAAAGCCCGTTAGGTGTCCACTGCAAATTTGTGTCACTTGTTTCCACTTTCCTTTATCCTGTGCCAACATGCTGAGGCTATGTACATCTCTCTGGCATCACTAGACATCGTTATGTTTATAGACTCTTATATAAGACTCTGTGACTGAGATAAAGTCGTTATACTAGAATATAACTTTGGGACTAATGTCATCAGTCTTGGTATTTGCTAAGTTCTGTAAATGGTCACAGAAGTATTTCAGGTTTATCAACATTTTAGTAAAACGATACGCCAATGTTACACTTGGGCTAATGGAGGGAATGCCTGCATGTATACACACTTTTTAAAATGAGAAATTACGTGTTTTTTTACAAAAACAAACACTATTATAGATACACACAATATGTAAAAAAATTCGATGCAAATAATAATTGTTGAATGCAATTGTGACGCCTATCTTGATAATCCATGGAATAACTGGATGGGTAAATAGTTACAGGCCAAGATAGTTGCCACATCATGTATTATTCATATTAATTCGTAATACTGTGTAAATGTTAGCAACATTCTGAACAGTTATTTTTTTTATTTAGCGTTTCGATAAGTTTGCTTAAACAATAATCTGTTTTGCATTTTTGTCACTTTATATGGTTTGCAGTTGCCTGCCGACCTCGATTTTCTGGCACAGAGACAGTCAATGCAACTTGTTCGCCAATGCAGCGGCAATTGCAGGAATCACGGTACCGCTCGTCTTACTGCTCATCATCATCGTCATTGTTGTGGTCTTGATGCTCATGAGGCGAGCGCACACGAAAACGTTTTCAGTGGAATCCAGGTAGGAGAGTTGTGCCCATTCACTCACCGATTTCACACCAGTCCACTGGCTCACCAATAGTCGCTTCCTGATCACTCTCGTCTACAGCTAACACCGTGGCTTCGTTCCAGCGAACTTCACCGATTGATTCCTCTGATTGTTTTGTTTTCATCACATCCATACCGTGTTTAATGTTCACATTGAAAGATCACGCCACCGAGAATCAATCAAATGCATTCCAAATGAGACACCGGAGGCAATCATCACTTGAATTGCTGGAACTGCACAACTGTAAAAACACAACCAGATTCTCACACCGCGTAATTCTCCGTTGATGTCACGCGATGCATGTAATAAAACCACGAAGTAAAGGCCACTCTTTGGCAATACGTCTCTTCAATCAGAAAGAGAAGATCGTTAATACTGCGAAAGTTAGCACCGATTTTAAAATACTCTACACATTTGTGACGCAGGTGTCTCTCAATTTACGAGCGTTCGTTTTTTTTCTTTTCACGAAATGTCGCGTTGACGCAATTGACGAAAAGTTTACACTTTTTGATTTACAAAATCGAATTTCCACGTCAACGATCAATTTTATTTCGACACGCACCAAGAGATCAAACAAGAACAACCAAGGAGGCTGCATCATCCATCCTTGGCAGTGTCACGGTGTCCCTGCAGTGCAACAGTAACGCCTTCACATCACCTTTCTAGTCATTCTAAAATGCAGCAAGATCTTTTGATTGAGTTCATTGATTTTTTTTATCAATTACTATTCAATAACTTTAGTAATTATGCTCTTTAATGTTTGTGTGAAAGAGATATATGTGGTATACATTTCTAGGTTAGGAGTAGAGTTGGAATGACACACATTCCAATTTTTTTTATGTATAAAATTAAGCCATTCCGATTTACTACATTTCGTTTTTTGCGTGTTTTTTGAGGAACACTTCCCTTTCGCAAGTCGAGGTATACTTGTACATTCCATACACATCAAGTCAGTCTTATTGGCCTCTTTAAATAATAAAAAAAAGAAAATAAGTAAGACATCATTCCACGATTGAAGTATTTAATATATGTGTAAAAAAACCGGAACTCTGTAACAACGACTGGTCTCACTACTTCTTTGTACCCACCCAGCCCTGCAATCACCCTTCACCGTTTGACCACACGCCACCATAAAATGCATTAACTGTTGCACACTGGAGACAAGAATTACTTTCGGACTCTTTCGGACGTTCGACTGTTAAAAGATAGCGATTGTAATAAACCACATGCGGTGGTGGTGATTATAAAAGGCTTTGGAGTGAGAAGAATATGAGAAAAATGTGCGTGGGTGTTTTTTTGGTTACTTTTGACATCAGTATATTTTATGAAGCGAATGGCATTGATTTATCTTGGTATTGGAATGAACCTTGGCATTGGAATGTAAGATACAAGCAAAGCAAACTGCCTTTTGTATATACATATTTTCAATTGAAACTAAACCGATGATGGAACACTCCCACTTGCAACTTTGGTACTAGCCGGCATCACTTTTAGAGAAACTACAGGCTACATACGACATCCTGTTGGATTCTTCTGCTGCTAAGTACATATTGTTTCAAATGCTTAATCATTGATGCTCATTGATAAATTTTAAGTACAAATATTTAAAAGGGTACTATCAGCTTCATGAATAATATCACTATCGTTTAGGGCTGCTTATTTTAACACAGTAGGGCTCAAATTAGCTTTGACTAAACCGGTAAACACTACTCGTAGGTGTCAGTACAAAGTAATTTAAGACAATAATTTGCCCATTACTCTCATATGCTTCTGAAAATAGAAATGCTCTTCATCCACTGCAGTTTTTACCACACATTGCCTTTGCGTGTACTGTCAAGAAAGGTGCTCTTTGACATTAAAAAGGCAAACTGCCAAACGAGATAGGAACTATTCTTGATTTGAAGCTTTCGTAACTGCAGGAATCCATACTCTTTGGTTCTTTCGGTAAAGTCACGTAGGTAGAAATAAAATAAAATAAACCACGACGTTTCGATCGCAACACAAGTGACCGTCATCAGGCGAACCGATACAGCACGACAACAGATGACAGTGGCTTGTGTTGCGATCGAAACGTCGTGATTTATTTTATTTTATTTCTACCTACGTGACTTTACCGAAAGAACCAAAGAGTAAATTTCGATTTAAAGCTTTCGTGACTGCAAGGATTCATCTTCTTTGGTTCTTTCGGTAAAGTCACGTAGAATGAGAATAAAATAATAAAATAAAATAAGACAATAAATTCTCACGACGTTTCGGCCACAACACAAGTAGCCTTCTTCAGGTGAAGGAACAGACCTGTCGGGACGACAGTGCTTCAATGAACGCTGCTAAGATTCGTAGCGTCTTTTTAAGCTCAGTGAGAGGCGTTAGGCGCCTTGACAAAGGAGTTTACATATTAAAACAGGATAATTTAGCATTTAAATAGCTGAGGGATTAGCTTGTGACAGAAATAGCTATGTTAAAGTCAAAGCTAATCCCTCAGCTATTTCAATGCTAAATTATCCTGTTTTAATATGTAAACTCCTTTGTCAAGGCGCCTAACGCCTCTCACTGAGCTTAAAAAGACGCTACGAATCTTAGCAGCGTTCATTGAAGCACTGTCGTCCCGACAGGTCTGTTCCTTCACCTGAAGAAGGCTACTTGTGTTGTGGCCGAAACGTCGTGAGAATTTTATTGTCTTATTTTATTATTTTATTCTCATTATACGTGACTTTACCAAAAGAACCAAAGAAAACCAAAGAGTAGAGATAGGAACTGTTTTGAGTAGAAATGCACATTTTTAAAGAAAGTACGTTACTTTGTTCGAAATATGTTCATTATCATGCACTGCAAGTCATAATTCCGTGGGTTATGTGATGGCGATTCAATGGATCGTCACGATTCAGTCAAGATGAGACGAATTCTTATTGTGGTGAAAATTAGCGGCCGGGAGTGTTGCGGCCAGTGGTCATTGTGAACCCATTTACGTGGCAACGTATACGGATTAAAAACACTGCTTCTTCCAAATGACGACTCGGTGTGCATGTACCATGAGCTTTTACAAGCAATATAAATTCATGCATAATAAAAGAAACAAATGCCTCTGAAAGTGATAATACTGTTGGCTTACGTTGCTCTGCTTCAGCGGTATTTTATTTATGATCACACAATTCAAGCTGCAGATCATAAAAAGGGTGTTACATTTTATAGTTATGGCGAGTCATGAAACCCATAAATGGCACGTGACGTATGAGCCCCAATGCCAAAACAAATTATTTCAGTGAGTTTAGTAAATATATGTATATTTAACATTTTTTATTTAACACCGATATAGAGTTAAGCATGCAGCTGCAATAGAAGACATTCTTCCACGTTATGTATATTTTTCTATGGTCTGTTAATCACCAGTTCTGCTTTATTGCAATGCTGCCACAAGGTTATCTTGTCGACACTAAATTTTACTCACAACTTTCCAGAAGCAAAATTACCATCGTTGTTTTCCGGAGAGATTAGCAGAACATAAGCAATAACATGTGTGTCATATATACCGAAATCAAATGTATTAACATATGATTTTTATATTTTCAGCTGTTCTTCCTTCAGTAGACACTCAACCTTAAGTTTTGGAAGCTTTAAGGCATTGCCTGAATGGCAAGACAACCCGAACTATGATGTTCACGTCGAGGATGTTCGTGAAGAAGGTACATCGCACATGGCGAGCTGCAATTGTTTGTGGACACTGTCAGAGTGAATTGTATCTCTTTTATTATATTTATTACGTTTAGCTAGGAAAGCCTCACTGAGTCTCAATACTTTTTTTTATCAGGGGTCCTGCCAAGTTTTATTTTTGCAGTCGGGGGATGCATTACTGCTGTGTGGCATCCTAATTGAGTAATATTGCGTGTAATTCTTCAGTATTGGGATACTTTGCCCAATACCGGTTACATTGTATTATATATTAGCTTTGGGGAAAAAAATCAATGACCCAGAGACAATCCAAGCCAAACAGGGGGAGAAGATACAATCTGGACACAGAAAGGCAGCCGCATCGGGAATTGAATCCAAGTGCTTCTTGCTGTGAGGCACAAGGGTTGCACCACCCTTGCCAACCAATGCACACATGGTAGCAGGGATACGATCACAGTAGAAGCTGGATATAAGCCAAGGCTGTAGCCATGGAGTCAATATTGGGGGGGACCAAATCTTCCAGGAGGTCTGGGGGTCCCCCCCCATTAAAAAAATCTAAATTTGAAAACTAATTTCCTGACATTTCCCGCCTAAAATAAAAAAAACACTAACACGTAGGGTGGACTTTTTTTTTACAATAATGTCTAATAGTGTTATTGTATTACATTGCTCTGTTTTTTTTTCTGTTTTACCTTTTCTTGTTTCATTGTATGTAATGGCAGAGATTAGGGATTAATAAAGTACAACCATAACCACAATCATATAAACAGAAATATATTTTATAGCTATATATTGGGGGGGGGGACAATTTGAGCATATTTGAATATTGGGGGAGGGGATGTGTGTCCCCCCCCCCCAATATATATTATAATTACGGCCTTGATATAAGCACACCTAATATGAGCAGAGTTCTGATATACATAACACATCCTTACATTGCACCTGTGGGGAAAGGATAAAGGGCAACTTCTGACGCACACTACTTCGGATAAAAGCATACCTGGCTTTGTTCGAAATGGGTGTGCTTGCATCCCGATTCTACTATACCCCTGACAGCTTTGGGCGAGCGAGTTTTGTTTTGTTCTTTAAGCAAGACGTTTCAAAAAGAGCAAGGAGAGCATGATCATATCATCATTAGTCTGGCGTTTAGACAACGTCCTCTGTAGGCCTAAGTGGGCACAGAAACTATCGAGAAGAGGCTAATGGGATGGACCGTGTTTTGTACAGTCTCAATGCGCCATCTGATCCAAGGACCCACTGCTTTCCACAGGAGATCTCCTTGCCTGTAGTTGAGGTATCTCTATTGTTAAATGAAAGGGCGGTTCAATCCCAATTCGTTGTCATAAGATTGTTCATATGACAATGGCGAAGGTGGAAATCATTCATAAACTGCATTAAAATTACAAAGTAGCATATGTAATGTATATGCATGTATGTATGCTGTCTTTGTTTATCATTTAATGGACGTTTTCAATAACAATGACGAATATTTCGATTTAAAGCTTTCGTGACTGCAGGGATTCATAGTCTCGGTTCTTTCGTTAAAGTCACGTAGAAGGGAAATAATAAAATAATAAAAATATAAAACAACAAAATGCTCACGACGTTTCGACTGCAACACAAGCAATCATCATCAGGTGTGAAAACCACAGCAAGAAAATTGGTTTTCACACCTCAGGATGATTGCTTGTGTTGCAATCGAAACGTCGTGAGAATTTTATTGGTTTATTTTTATTATTTTATTATTTCCCTTCTACGTGACTTTACCGAAAAAAACAAGAAAAATGACGAATATTTTAACTGGTCCTGGGCCTCCCCTAGGCCGATGGGCTGGACCTTTCCGATGTTTTAAAACACTTTAAATGTTTAATTCACAATATATGGGGTCTGCATGTTTCACACAATACAACGGATATGTTTTTTTTTTAAGCTAAACGTATTATGTTCGCGTAAGCCCAATCGTACATAATAAAAACATATGACAGACTGTCCACAAACTGTAATACATTCAGAATCTGGTAACGGTTGTCTGGAAACATCATAAAAAGGGAAATAAAGGTTTACTTGATTGTCAGTGTGATAGTTTTAGCTGGGGAGTAAAATCCCCTTAGGCAGGCCAGAGGACCTTCGCTAACCCTCGTTGACGTACATTCAAAACAAACAATAATCTCAGCCCTCTGTCAAACCAACTCCCCGTGCCTGCCTATTGAGTCAAGGTGTAAGTTTGATCGTGCCTAACCATGCCGGTGATGTCAGTTGGTGATAAGGTGGGACAGAGTTAAATATGACTCAACCACAGACTGTTGGTAGTCAATGAAGCTCAGTTGGCCACCAGGTTCATAACACAGCACAACCACTGATGCTGCTCTGCCCTGGATTATAACGGAAGAGACACAATCCCTATTAAACACACACAAGTTATTCTCCAGCCAATGAGCATCCCCAACAACTACTGTTTAACGTATGACAAAAAAAATTGTTCTGACATCGACATTTGATGTCTTTACATATGACAATATTATCTCATTTCACACACTATCACATTGCGAAACCCACAAGGCTCTCACATTCACCTTTCATCTTTGAGGTGAAACCTGCCGTGATAACCGAGTTGTTTTTATTGACGCAGAGTGTAGTACTTTTATCAGCTGTTGTATTTATGCAACACAGTGCATACCAATCTAGATTTGAAGTTTTCGTGACTGCAGGGATCCATACTCTTTGGTTCTTTCGGTAAAAAAAGTCACGTTTGTATCAAATAAAATAAATGTAATCACGACATTTCGATTGCAACGCAAGCAATCATCATCAGGTGGGAAAACCACAGTGGTTGTTCTGTTTGATTCCCGTGAGGTTCGCTTGCGAACTAGCAAGACCGGCGTTTGAACGGCACATCTCGCCGCATAGATCACATGCATAGTGGGCTGATGGGTAACTGAACTGGTAACTAATTTTTCTTGAGTTACCAGTTCACCACAACAAGAAAATATGAAAAAAAATTGAAAAAAAAAATTATTGTTGTGGTTTTTCACACCTGATGATCATTGCTTGTGTTGCAGTCGAAACGTCGTGAGAATTGTATTGTTTTATATTTTTATTATTATATTGTTTCCCTTCTACGTGACTTTACCGAAAGAACCAAGAATATGAATCCCTGCAGTCACGAAAGCTTTAAATCAAAATGGTAACTAATTGGCATGTTTTTGTTTACGTGACAAACCTTGTGTCGGGTGGTGGCGGGTTTAACGACAACGTTTATATTTACGCGATCTCACCCACAAAACCTGTATTAAGGAGAGGCTTTAACTGTATTGTGCTATGTGCTGTTGGACATGCTATTATCATTGACATGTAGTATTCATACTGCACTGCGTCGAGACACACCCTGACGCTGTAAGCTAGTCTTACGACGCTTGCCTACACGGTGAGGGTCATGAGGGTTAATTAGCCATACCTCACCAAATTCATTCGTGGAGATTGAAGCTTGGGAACATAGACGAGTGTGAGCAAAGGTGTACAGTACAACAGCGATTGTTTTTGTTTTGCTGCGCCGTCAGCCGCTGCCCTACAACATAACTCTGCGCCTGTAACAACACAGTGAACGCACGACGTTGCCTCGACGATAGCATGTGTGTTGAAACCGTTGGACTAACGTTGACTCAACGTTGGCGCAACTTTCTATGTTTACTTGGAACCTGTCGTGCATGGTGGTGGCCCATCCAAGCACTATCCAGGCTAAAACCCCGCTTAGCCTGCAACATCGGATGAGGTCGGCCACATACCTGGTTGATTTGGTCAAATCGCGTCGTACAAGTGGGGTAAAATGGAGATCAAGATACGCACGCAGAATGGAACCATCTCTGTAGGGGTTGCAGCTTTATTTACGTTTTATATATATATCATGTGTTGCATCCTTTGTTTTCCACAGATAATTTCGCGATTCCTCCTGGAGTATTCAACCCGACCCTTGAAAATATTAGCCAAGAAGTGGTGAGTGCTCTGCGTGCAATTTAAACAATATCAGTTCTATTTATATTGCTATAAATAAACACGACCTCTAACATGCAAGTCCATTTTAATGGAAATGCCGAAACCTTGACAACAAATTACATTGCAAAGTATTAATTACATTATGTGACTGATGAAAGATACGATTCGTTGAGTGGGGTAGAGCTTGGAATAACATTGAGAGGACAGAAAGAGAAACACGCAGATTAGAGAACATACATTGGCTTGGGTAGGACCCGTCACTGGAAGGGATGATGGGACCTATGGTTCAAGATATGGAACGCGTCTTGAGAGTACGTACAATGAGGAGATGGATCAATGAAATCAGCTCCTGTTTAGGTTCTAGATAGATGGTTGCATTGTGGGGTCATGAGAGATGGTATTTTTTAGATCCGTTGCCACCCATATTGCTGTGCCAAGTGAAAATAACAATGCCACTTACTCAATGTTCTGGGGCGTTGTTTTATGACTGTGGTAACTGGCCGCACCATCGCCATTGACACAATCACTTTAGAATGAATGATAGGACTTTTATCTTGTGTTTCTATGGATAGCAAGGTTCTTGTTTTTTCCATTCCTTTGCACAAATGTGTTTACTCAAGTTGCAAGATTGCACTTTATTTTTTTTATTTTTTTATCAAACTGAATGACTTTTTTTTTTTAAATGTGTTGATTGATATTAAAGGGAACCCCATTTAAATGAACACTCAATGTTATGCTGTCCCCCAAGCGTTGTGGTTTCCAAGGGAATATACCCTTTAGGGGCATTAAAAAGGGAATGACGACTGTTTAAAAAAACACACACCGAAAGCTTTATTTTTTTTTACACTCGCTTGTAAATGTACCCAGGACAAAGGAAAATAACTGGAAATGACGCAAGTAGTCTGATAAGATTGAACAACCCATCTTAAATGCGGAAAATAATATGCCTTTCTTTATTTGCCTGTCAGTATCCGCGAGTGGTAAAGTTTATACGGGGCAGAACATGCAAGGAAACGTGATGAGACTCAGTGTGAACACAGTGAGTTAATTGCGGGTCAGGCCCATTGAAATGAGAAGCTCTTTTTTTCAGTGACTACCAGGCCAAAATGGTTTATACATCTGTAGTGGGTCCAACTGAGTCGCAGACGTTGTTCCTTTTAGAGGCAACACTTTTATTTGTAACACCCTAACACCGAAACACAAAGGGGTAACTGCCCCTTTACCAGACTACAGCGAGTTACTGCTACGAAGGGTCGATCCCTCACTCGGGTCTCCGACCACGTGGTTGCCTCGTAAGATGAAGAGCTTCAGCTTGAGACGTTGAGCTTCCCACTTGTAGATGTTGAGCTTCCAGCTTGTAGAGTGCAGCGACCCCGGTCCCTCCCAGTGACCCGCCTTATATCCCTCTACGGCCGGGGCTGCTCCGCCCTCGGCCCCGCCCTCCTTCCTGAACATTCTCGTTCCCTCTCGATCCTTCTCGAGAGCTCTCTCTGGACACGTGATCACCCCCGAGTCCCCCCACCTGGGGCCCCCTGTATGGACATTC